ACAGTTTGTCACAGCCCCTCGTTTGTTGTCCTCTTCTCCCTCTCTGCCTACGGTTTACCGGGCAGTTCTATTTGACGATATATATATATATATTGGTTTGTTGTCCTCTTCTCCCTCTCTGCCTACGGTTTACCGGGCAGTTCTATTTGACGATATATATATATATTTGTGGAGTTGATTATCCTTCTCGAAAAGATGGATTTGAAGTGGTGTATAACTTACTGAGTATTCAGTATAACTCACGTCTTCGTGTACATACACGTGTAGATGAAATAACTCCCATTTGTTCAGTAGTCAAATGACTTCTGGCATCATCAAAATTATTATTGTACTTAATATAATATATCTATTGTAGATATATTATACTCATAGCTCCGCCCTCGGTTCGTGTGTTTTGCTTAAAACCTACCCTAATTTGTTGTACTGGAATCGACCGACAAAAGGTCACACAATTGGTTGCCAGAAGAAACTAGTTTTTCGAGAGTCTGTAGATCTCAATCCAAGAGTCAAACAAGAATGAATACCACATATAAGAGTAAAAACTAGACTTCCTATTACTATAGTCAAACAATTGACTGTTGAATATTGAAAATGATATAGCAATTGTAAAACTGGAAGTTTTGAAACTGGTTGGTATAATACCATAATGAAGTTACCTTTCGTTTTTTGAAGTAGCTGTTTTTGCTCAATTTGGCTCAGATCTTGATGCTGCCACTCAATATTTATTAAACCGTGGCGCGAGACTAACAAAAGTGTTGAAACAACCACAATATAGTCCAATCTCGATTGAAAAGTCTGAAGTAGGTGTACGATTACCAAAATGCGCCTTTGTACTTGGTAATCTTTAAATTACCTTTTCTGAATTGAACATAGTTTGATTTTGTTTTTGTTTAGGTAGCTCAGTTGGTTAGAGCAAAGGACTGAAAATCCTTGTGTCAGTGGTTCAAATTCACTTCTAAACAGGCAACATCAATCTCTTAAGAAACTCAACTTGGTCAACTTGCCGAGTAAGTATGCTAAGGACGGATTTGAACCATCATTCGTAGATTTGCAGTCCAATACATTACCTTATGTTACTTAGCCTTTGATTTGATTGATGAAGAAAGGTGCGAAGCAATGAGTTTTTTTTTCAATTTAAAAAAAATCAAATTCGTGTTTGACTCATCTACGTGGGAGTGTTTTACAATATTCAGTGGAACAACTACAAGATAACATGGTGGTGGTTGAAACAGGGCTGAAAACTCGATTCATTTGTTTGAAACATGAACTGGAAGAAAAAAGGAAAATTATAGATGAATTCAATTTTGGAGTAGAAAATGTAGAAGTGACCAAACTTTACACTAGGGGCATGTGGCTAACCTTCTACTCGATTCACAAGCATTGCTTTAATAGCTGCTTTATTTGCTTGACGTCGTGTAAACCAGAAATTAATTAACAAATATGATGCGAGACCTACTCCTTCCCATCCTAAAAACATTTGAATCAAGTTGTCCCCGGTAACTAACATGGGCATAAAAAAAGTAAAAATAGATAAATAGCACATAAATAGAGGCAAAAAAGGATCCTCAGACATATATGAGATTGAATAAATATGAACTAAACTATTGACAAAAGTGACCACAATTAACATTATAATAGCAAATTGTTCTAGTGGACTGAAAGCCATTATGAATTTTTTTTTTTTTTTACGGAGCTTTTGATGATCGATCTGTAAATGAATGGGAGAATTGACTTGAAAAGTCAACAGTGTTTTGAACAAAAGCAATTTTATTACATCCATTGGTATGTACTGGTTTTAATGCAGACTTCGATGGAGATCAGATGATATGCTGCTCGTATTTTTCTCTGTCTTGAACCCCATACCCCTATAATAATAAACATAGGGAGTTATTCATTGATTGAAGTCAATGCATCTAAGTTAATTGATTCAAACAACCACATAAAGAGTGAGTTGGGTACAACATATAAACAAAAAATTGCTGAGATATAGAGACTTTTTCTAAAGTAGTACTTTTTTTTATATCCATGTGATTAACCAAAGCCATCTTTCCATAAATCTTTCTTATAAATGCCACTATCTTCTTACTTATCTATGGAGTGATTTTGAGCACCTCTCTCTCTCTCTCTCTCTCTCTCTCTCTCTCTCTCTCTCTCTCTCTCTCTCTCTCTCTCTGGGCCTTGGCTAAGTTAGTCAAGGTTACGAGAGAGCACACTCTGTACCAACTGTTTTCTATTTTCGAAATATTGGGCAAGCACAGGCAGGATTCGAAACCGAGACGCCTCGGACAGATGCTGTTGTCCAACCGACAAAACGGGAGTTTTTCACCGACCAGAGAGCCAGCAGAATGCCACGGGAAGCCACTGACATAGATGACGTAATGTCAAAAGCTACATGTGGGATAAAGAGTTACCTAGGTTGCTAGGACAAACCGAAAACAACTTTTGTGTGGACTTTTATTTTTCTTTATTTTTGGTATACGTACGGGGCTTTTCTTCTTCTTCTTCTTCTTCTTCTTCTTCTTCTTCTTCTTCTTCTTTTTCTTTTTTTTTTTTTAAATTAAAACAGGTCCTTATGGTCCTGGCTCCATATCCATTCTTGGGAGCGTCAGTCTGTTTCCTTTCCACCGACAAGTCAAAAATTGAGATGCATGGTGAACACTCTCATGCTTCCTTCCATCTGGCCGAAACCCTGACCAGCATTGATTGCTCCCTGTCCGGAGGATTGACTGTCAGCTTGCCATGCCACTTTTCCTCTCAGAATCTATTGTGACTCTGTCGGCTGATTCGTGTAAAGCAAGAAAAGAGGAGAGTTGTCTATACTGTTGAGATGAAAATCTCAGTTGCCCATCACTGGTGCACCGTCCTTTTCGGAGGTGTGCTGTGCCATTTCCTCCATATCAATCTGTTATTTGTCACAGTTGCAGTCTTTGCCTGAAGAAGCCAGTTTCTCATGAAGATCCGTCTCTTGACGGCTATCCTTTCTGGTCTGCATTTTGTTGCTGATGTCACCTCCCTCCATCTTGATCGAATCTCAGTTTCGGCCATTCCCAGCAAAAGTACCCACATCTCTTCTCTTGCCACCTCAATTCCTTCGATCATCTTGGTACATCTCATTTTCCAGATTACCCATAGAGCCAGGTTCCTGAGCAGGTGAAACCATACTTCCTTGCCGCCTTTGAGATTGTTGGTATTGTTGGAAAGGAGCAGGATGTTCAGGGGAGTTGTGGGCAGAGGGGGTGATGAGAAGAGGGGGGGACCATAGGTCGTGCACCTTGTTCCATATCCATGCTGCTTCCGTGCAGTACGGTAGGCAGTGGGGTATATCTTCCGGGATGCTGTCTGTGCATAGCTGCAAAGCTCGGAGCTGTCAGGGTCCGTATGTTTCCTCCTCTTGTGGAGCCATTGATTGACCGGTAGCGATGTGTGCGCTAAGAGCCTCTGCATGCTCCGAATCCTTACCGGTCTAATGGTCAGGTACTTCGTCCATGGGATGGAAATGGAATCCGTGGGATCCAGATTCAGGATCTCCCTCCACTTTCCTTTGAGTCTGGGGCCTGGGTCTGTGGTTTGCAGACCCAGCTCATAGCCGAATTTGACATCGTAATCAAATATCGTTCTCTTCTCCCGGATTTTCCCTGCTTCCAAACCCACTCTTTCGGGTCGAATTCAAGGTCTGGAATGCTGAGGTCTGGTTGGAAGATTTTCCAGTTTGAAACCCTCACTTTTCTCAGTCACAAGAAGTCAAGGCAAAGTAGAATCCTTCAACTAGTTTCGTCTGTCTACAGCGGACTCATCAGGAAGGTGTACCCCTCCTGAGTACTTCTGCCAGAAGAGAGGCTGATAGCCTTGCCTCCCTGTAATATATCTCCTGGACTACCTCGGGAATGGCACGTGCTCTACGTCTATCTACGACACGTAACGACAAGAACCTTCCCAAAGATTCCTTGCCTGCATATTTGCCATGAATCCGTTCGTGAAATTAGGTAGATGATTTGTCTAGTCTCCCTAACCGTTCGTATGACTAGTGATAGCGTACGGGCTCACAAAATTTTGAAAATTTGGTATTCATGCCTGTCTCGCCTTAAGGACACATACCTGAAAAAGGAGAAAAATAAATGAGAACTCCACATCCATATCCGCAAAAGAAAATATATAAAGCCCCGTATGTATACTCGAAAAGGAGAAGAATAAATGAGAACTCCTCATACATATTCGTAAAAGAAAAGAAAATAGAAAAACAGAAAAATAGAAAAAAAAGAAAAATACGGGGATTGGGGCATATTCATCTCCCAAACCCAGCATACTAGAGCATATCAATTCGTCTCTCGAACCAACCCACTCTGCTACCTATCTAAATTCTACTCATACCCCATAGCTAATCACAACCTACAAGAGCTGGAAATCCAGAACAAAAAAGCTATGGTTTTTCATGAGTTTTGAGCTGTGCAAGAGGATGAATGATGCATGGTTGGAGCTCTCTGAGTCTTTACGCTTCTGAGAGCATTTTTCAATGCGGCTCTTTCTATTTGCTGGTTCGCACTCTTGTTATTTTGAAACTCCTGACCACCTATGCCCTCCCAGAAAGACTGTGTAGCCGCAGCCTGCCTCTCTCTCTCTCTCTCTCTCTCTCTCTCTCTCTCTCTCTCTCTCTCTCTCTCTCTCTCTCTCTCTCTCTCTC